AGTTTGCTGGCCCTGGTAATCCAGGTAACCCATACAGAGACAGGGTGTGCACGACAGTGAGCCGATAGGGCCCTGCTCACCAAGGGCCATGTGTATTCCAGACCCAGTGCAAGCTGTTTGTCTTTGACAAGACCTCACAGTCCTGGGTGGAGCGAGGCCGGGGGCTGCTCAGGCTCAACGACATGGCATCGACCGACGATGGGACACTGCAGTCCCGACTTGGTGAGCTGCCGAGGGAGGGGCTGCCAGGCCTCCTGCAGGTGGGCATGGCAGGGTCCCTATGGAGAGAAAGGGCTTGGGGTTGTTCCAAGATCAGACAAGAAGTGCCTTTCCAGAAGGAGTGAAAGGGAAACCTGACCTGGCCTAGGAATGGAGACGGGACAGTGTGGCCCCAGCACGCCCAGTCAGCCTGCCAGCTGGGCACCCCCAAAACAGGCCTGACCCAGTGACTCCAGCTGCCAACCCTTCCAAGACTTCTCCCTAGTGTTGAAATATTTAGCAATTTTTAAATTTACTTTCACTGATAAAATAGCAATTTTATGATAGAAAGGAGAAAGAAGAAATCAGCATTAATTATTTCTTTTTAAAGAGAGAAGTCTCTGCTCGTAACGTATTGATTCCTCCTGTTTTGTGGTCCTTTTTAAGGAAATAGGGCAATTTTATATCCTGCTTGTTTCACTTACTATTTGTGAGCATTTTCCAATAGCATTAAATATCCCTTTAAAATAAAGATTCTCCAGCCCCCAGGCGCAGTGGCCCACGCCTGTAATCCCAGTGGCTCAGGAGGCTGAGGCAGGAGGATGGTGAATTCAAAGCCAGCCTCAACAACAGCGAGGTGCTAAACAACTCAGGGAGACCCTGTCTCTAAATAAAAAAGAGAATAGGGCTGGGATATGGCTCAGTGGTCAAGTGCCTCTGAGTTCAATCCCTGATACCCCCCAAAATAAGTAAAGATTATCAGCTGGACACAGTGGTCATCCCTGTCGTGCCAGCTATTCAGGAGGCTGAAGCAGGAGTATTGCAACTTCAGGGTTAGTCTGGGCAACTTAGTGAGGCTCTGTCTCTGTCTCAAAATGAAATTTAAAAAGGGCTGGGGATGTAGCTCAGTAATAAAGCACTTGCCTGGCATGCATGGAGCCCTGCGTTCCATCCCCAGTACTGCAAAAAATAAAGAAATAACAATTGGTTTTGAAAACTTCTATGTGAACATTCTATTGGCAATTACTATATTTTAGTCTCTGTTTATTTAGCTGCTTCTTTTTTTTTTTTTTTTTTTTTTTTTTAAATATGGTGCTGGGGATTGAACACAGTGCCTCATGCATGCTAGGCCAAGTGCTCTACTACTGAACCACAACCCTAGCCCCCTATTTAATCCCTGACAGACATTCAGGTTGTTTCAGATTTTTGTAAACTATCATAGATAACAAGACGGGGCCATCTTAATGCATGAATTGTGTTATAAGAGTGAATATGTGCACATACTGGGGAAAGCTGTGTTACGTGTGTGTCTGTGTTTAAAAGCACATGCTCATCTTTCCTCATCTTCTCTAATCAAAGTATTTTTTGTGGGTTTCTGGCCCAAGGTAGCTCACATTCCCCTTAAGCGTTGTTTTACACAGTTCAATTCAGAAACATCCCTGAGGTCAGAGCAGAGATGAGAATCATCCTGCTAAGTTGCCAAGGCTTGCAAAGTTGCCTGTGCTGGCTTCGAGATAGTGGTCCTCCTGCCTCAGTCTCCTGAGTCACTGGAATTAACAGATGTGTGCTACCACACCAAGCTTCAGTTGACTTTTACTATTTTCTTATGGAAGCATTCAAATGTGTGAGCAGAGTGTGCATGGTGGGGTTCCCCAGCTGTTGTCAGCACATGCGGCCAGCCCACTGCCATGGATCCCTCCCCCCATTACCAAGCACCACCCTCGGCACCCTGTCCCTTCCCCAGCCCCCATGTCTGAGGCAGGTACCTGGCCCAGGGATGTGAGCACAGGGAGATCTAGCTGAGAGGGCCCCTGGCAGAGGTGACAGCCTAGCCCTCCAGTGGGCAGGGCTGAGCCAGCAGGAAGATGAGACTTAGCCATGTCCATGGCATGGACACAGGCCAGGTGCATGGGCCCTGGCAGTGTGGGCAGCATCCAGAGAGACAAGGCCTGCCCTTCCCTCCACAGCACGCTGCCCTCCTTCCTGGCTTCCTTTTGGTGGATGCTCTAAGCAGTCTTCTTACTTCCTCTTTTTCCTAAGAAAACCAGAGGATAGGGGCCAGGACTTGGCCCAAGAGTGGGGATGGTCAAGAGGGCCCCAGCTTCCCTCTCAGCATGTGCAGCCCTCACCTCCTACAGCCCGTCTCCTGCCCTCTCCGACCCCCCATTTCCCCAAGGGAATGGCTGTCCTGGCACTTGCCTGTGTGGACCAAACAGAACTCTCACAAGGCCTGATGTGGCCTCCAGCCACTGGCTTGCCACACCAGTCTGTGCAGCCACCGATCCATCAGGGTCCTGCAGGAGTTGGGCTGGAGAATTGCTGGCTGGCCAAGTTGGATTCTCTTTCAGGTTGTTGCCTCTGGTGGTGGCGGGGTGGGGGCCAGGCTGAGTGGCCTTGTTGGTTACAGTGATGCGGACCCAGGGCAGCCTGCGGCTGATCCTCAACACCAAGCTATGGGCCCAGATGCAGATGGACAAGGCCAGTGAGAAGAGCATCCGCATCACCGCCATGGATACTGAGGACCAGGGTGTGAAGGTCTTCCTGATCTCGGTGAGCCACCCTTGGGCAGGCTGCTGGACTCAGAAAGAAGGCTGTACCCCATAGACCACCCACCACGCGGGGTTCCTTGACATGCTGGGCGCCACTTGCCTGGACTCTGGGAGGTAGACTCCTTTGGGTGTCACCCAGACCTGTGTTCTAGCTGTGGAGAATGGGGTGTGCCCTGAGGTCAGCACACCCAGAAGGAAGCCTCACCCTCTGTTTCCTTCTCCCTGTCTCCCCCTTAGGGGCTGGCCAAGGTCAGAGGTGTGCTTAGGACAAACAACCCTGTGTGTTGGTCACCCCATCCTGTGTCATGTGAACGGATGACACGTGTCCCCAATCTTGACCTCTGTGTCCTGGCCCCAGTATCCTCCCAGCCACCTAGGGGTGGGGATGGCCTTATGGATGTGACCGGTTGGCAAGCCAGGTCCCCTTGTGAGTAGGACACCTCCCACCCCCATCCCCAGCAGGATGGGTCCCAGGGCCCTCACAACCCCCTGCCTCCCCCAGGCCAGCTCCAAGGACACAGGCCAGCTGTACGCTGCCCTACACCACCGCATCCTGGCCCTTCGCAGCCGTGTGGAGCAGGAACAAGAGGCCAAGATGCCCGCCCCTGAGCCTGGGGCCGCCCCATCCCACGAGGAGGATGACAGCGATGATGATGTGCTGGCTCCCTCGGGGGCTGCCGGGGCCGGTGAGCCAGGCACTGCCTGCCCAGGAGGGGCCCAGAGCTGACCTCCTGGCCCATGTGGGCCGAGCCAGAACTGGCCCCAAGGTGACGCTGCTCTTCCCGCAGGCGCAGGTGAGGAAGGTGACGGGCAGACGCCTGGGAGCACATAGCAGCCGGCGCACAGGAGGCTGCTGCTTGGTCGTCTGTCTGCCGCCCGCCCCCTCCCCGCAGGCAGCGGCACCATGGGCGGAGCCACACCCACTGGGTTGACCACAGTCTGGATCTGCGTCCGTTGGAAAGCAGACTCACTCGGGAGCTGCCTGGATGTGGTTTGGGACATGAGACCTCATCATATTGATGAGCAAAAAAAAAGAACGTTCCTCCCTGCCCCTCCTCTGAAATGGCACATTAAGACTTGTCACAGCTTCTCACTGGGACTGGGAGACCTGGTTTCTTCACCCTGCGTGTCGCAGCCTCTGGGTGCAGCAAGGGCCTCTGGCCCCCCTGCCACCGCACCCTCCCTCCTGCATGGGTGGCACCTGCCTGGGAGCAGTGGCCAAGCCTGGGCTCTGCTCCAGGAGCCAGCACTGGGCCTGGGTGCTCCGTGTGGCTCTTTGTCTCCCATATTCTGATTTGATGGGTTTATATTTTACAACTTTTTAATTTCCAAAGGCTTTGTTTTCAGTTCTGGGATTGAGTTGCTCTCTTGCGCTGAGCAGGCACAGCTCCTTGAGGGCTTGTTCTTGTGGTCCTGGCCTCTGAGCCAGGGTCAGTAGGCCCCCACTCTGCCCACCTGGGTTCCTATAAGCTGAGTCACGGGACGGTGGGGTGTCCGCTTCCATCTGGCCTAGGTCTGGAGATGCCTATCTAAAAAAAGGCCACGGAGCCTGGGAGGGGCCCCAGGGACCCCTAGTAGCCTCTTCCCCGTCCACATCATGTGATCCATCTGTCCGCGGGCACCTGGCGCCAGCCTGCTTCCTGCTGTGGGCCACTCCTTGCACAGCCCTGGACATCATACCCTCACAACGGGCTGGGACCTCTGGGAGAGGCAGCAGGGCCCTAGCTAGCCATGGGGACCAGGTCCCAGACAGTACGCTGTCCCCATGCACGCAGCATACAGGAGTGGGTGCCTGGGTACCACCCCGTAGGGCAACCCATAGAGGAGGTGGACCTTGTGCACAAGGCTCCTCAGGACTTTAGAGGAAATCCCCCAGCCCTGCCCCCCCCCCCCCCCCCCCCCC